GACTATTTGAGATCATAGTTTCAGACCAGAGTCTCACGGTGGGGGGGTGCTTTCCCAGAATGCAGTCTCAAGTGCTCCAAAATGGAGTCCCTACTGTCAAGGTGCTACTTTACTCTGTCTTATTTTCACAGCTGCACCAGGAAGGTTTTTAAACCTGTAAGCTTAAGCTTAACTTTTGACACCCATACATATACAATTTTAACTCTTCACTACAGGATGTTTTAGATATGGTACACCAAGGGGAAGGAAAAAGCAAAGTTGGGAAGCAAAAGTGTTACTATTTACAAGGCTTTAAGGATCCATCAAATTCAAAAGAAGCAAAAGAAGATGACAAACCAAAATGGTGGGCAACTTTCCTCCTAACCCAAAAATTGGCATGTTTCATTCACTGCTGCTACTCCCCTATGCCCTCTCCTCTCAACCTTATCTTGAGAGCCCTCTACTCTCTGTACTCAATCAGTTTCACTAATGGCCAACCCTAGTTTTCTCCCTCCAGTGAACCAGTAGTTCCCAGTTAGAATCACTGTCATGTCTAGGGTTGGGAATCAGCCCCCAGGTGGAAGGTAACCTTGAAAACACTGTCATCTCTTCTGGGTGTGAGGTGCTGTGTTACTTGAACATTCCACTTCCCAATCCCCAATGTCCTTTACTTGCCCATAAATGCCCAGCTAGCAGCAAGGATCACTGGCCCTCCTCAGAGCTCTAAATATGACTAAAGGGCCTGGCAACTATAGCTGAACAGCTAAAGTGCTGAAAGGGGCTGAAGTTTGGACCTAGACATACAAAATTTGAATCCTAGCTCTCAAGCTTACTGACTCTGTGACTTGAGGAACCTCTGTGGTTTTATTCCATGTTGTCTAAGCACCATCCTGTAATAAAATAATTTGCTTCTGGTCTATCTCCTATAATAATCTGAAGATTCTTAGGGGAACCTTAACCATCAATATATTCCTTGTTGATATATTTTAGAAATAAGTGAAACCACTTTCTCTTGACCTGTTTTCTCAATTATAAAATAAAGATGCTACTTGCATGATTAATGTAGCAAAGAATAAACTTAGCACATGCCCTCCAGCATAGGGTGGGTTGCTAAATAGTGAAGCACCCTTCAATTTCCTCTTCAGCTTGCTCATCAGTTTTTATCTGTCCCTATCTCAGCTTCAAGCTCAGCCTTCTGGGGTTTTCCTAACACTCATTAGGTTTCCTCATTAACCTCGGCCTCTATGGAATGGTTTTCCTTTTCCTTTCCTTTCCTTCAGACCAGGTTCCTTGTTTCCCCACTCACCTATAAACTGCTGCCTCTGATTCCACTGATTGCCTTTGCTTCCCTGGGCTTCCTTTTCATCTGCAGCAATGCAGATGCTCCCAGGCCTACAATCTATACCAGCTTTCAGCACAAAGGAGTTGATATCAGCTTTAATACATTGTTCTTTCTGATGCTAGGCTGCAACTTGCTCCTGTAAAATTAACAGTTTCTAACTGTTACTCCAAAGACCTTGGTTTTGCTCCATTGTCAGTGAGTACATCATGGATGCTGGCCTTGAATGCCTTGATATTCTATTCTTACAGTTCCATGACAGCTGAGAGTATGGTGATCTAGATGTCAAGATTTCTGCCTGCATATTACATTCAGTTAGGGGTCATAGAGCTCCAAAGCACTGTTGTTAGAGCCATTCCATGTATTCACTGTGTACATTTACTGAGTTTATCTTCTTTTTGTGCCCAACTACTCCCATCAGAGTAGCCAAGATAGAGGGGGTTTATTTAAGAGTCATGATGCTGAACCAGAAGCAGGCTCCATCATATGTACTCTATGATGTCTATTTTAGATATTCTAGGACACTTTTACTTATTTCCTGCTTCACTGAGTTTTAGGTAGCTGAGGTTGGTGGACACATGAACTGTGAATTAGTGAGGAATAACACATTCAACTTTGCATTATATAATTTTGTAGGTTTTTAAATTTAATATTTTATTTAGATTGATCCTATAGAGGATGATTATTCTAGTTTCTAAGTAACTGCATTATAATGAGGATCAGTGCATATGGTAGTAAAAATGACTTGATCATTGACATAGTGCTTATGTGTTGCATGCATCTATGAACTTGTGTCCTGGAATTTTGGGGATTTTATGTTGATCAGAGGAAGCCTTTTACCACTGATGAACATTAATGTGCTAACATCTTGTTCTGTAAACAATAAAATTCTATTTAGGATTTACCTAGGAGTTTCCTTCTGCCTACTGCACTAAAATGCCAAAATCCTATTGATTCTACTTTTAGATCTCACTGTAATGTATCCCCTTGTCTCCATTCCCACTGTCTTCAGGCCCTTCTATATCTCAACTAAATTTCCTTTAATAGACTTCAGAGTTGACCTCTGTGCTTCTTGTCTTTCTTATCTCTGGGGCCCAACCCTTTGGCTTATATCTTGCTCCTCAATATCTCTTACTTCAGTTTCTAGGGAAAGCAAGTGGCTGGTAGGTCTTTCATCACTCCACACAAAATACTGCTCAATAAATTCTGGTTAAATAAATGAATGAATCATCTTACACAGCTATGGTTATTGTGAACTATGTGGGGATCTAAAAATACCTATTCTAGGCTCTTGCCTCTTCCCTAGAGAAGCATTCTAAGTACAGGTACACATACAACAAAATGATAGTTTATTTAAAAGGTGAGGTAATCACACACACATGTGGGTTATATTCAGGAATAGATTGGGCTGGGAAGGAAAAAGATGAGATATTTCAGCACCCTGCTCCTCTATGTCTGCAGAGAGAGAGAGCATGCCTCTCCCTGTTCTGGGTCTATTATGAGGTTGGAAAAGAGGAGTGGTTACACGGGACCAATGTCAGAGGAGGTGCATCCTAGGGAAGGAGTCATGTAATTGACAGGTGTGTCGATAGGATTATATAAGGGAAGTATGGCTTCCAGCTTGTGGTTCTAATCTAGCTACTTGTCTTATCCCATATCAGGGTGACCATTCAACCTGAGTGGTCCTGGTTTTTTTTTTTTTTTTTTTTTTTTTTTTTTTTTTTTTTTTTTTTGACAGGCAGAGTGGACAGTGAGAGAGAGAGAGAGAGAGACAGAGAGAAAGGTCTTCCTTTGCTGTTGGCTCACCCTCCAACGGCCGCTGCGGCCAGCGCGCTGTGGCCGGCGCACTGCGCTGATCCTTAGCCAGGAGCCAGGTGCTTATCCTGGTCTCCCATGGGGTGCAGGGCCCAAGGACTTGGGCCGTCCTCCACTGCACTCCCTGGCCACAGCAGAGAGCTGGCCTGGAAGAGGGGCAACCGGGACAGAATCCGGCGCCCCAACCGGGACTAGAACCTGGTGTGCCGGCGCCGCAAGGCGGAGGATATTAGCCTAGTGAGCCGCGGCGCCGGCCCTGGATGGTTTCTCTTCACACATTTCTTCCCTGTGTAAATACTAATATGCTCTTTTTATGATTAAACTTTTCTTAGAACAATTCATTGTGTAACTACCTAATTGTGGCAGTCATCAAATATATTTCTAACTCTTTTTGCCTTTACGAAATAGTGAGCTCTTGGGGGACAGAGATTTTTTTTTTTTGTTCACTGTTTATACTCTCATTTATTTGTTCAACTAACTGAATCCGTCAGGTGCTGAGGTTATGTCAAATAAAGCAAACATGGTTCTTGACCTCATGAAGTTTGCAATCTTGCAGGAAAGAGCAATCTAGCCCAAGAATATTACCTACATATAAATACTAGTGGGGAGTGAGTGGACAAAGATTTACACATTCCTAATCAAGCAACTCTAATCGTATAAACTGTAAAAGACAGAAGTAGTCATAAACACAGAACTCCACATGATCCCGCTAATCATGTACTTAATGAGTTTCTACATAAAAATTTTAAAATACAAATAGCACATATATACCTAAGAATTCACACTATTTAGTCAGTACCGTGAATTAAGCATATGAAAAAAGTGACCACGTAATAAGAACAAGGATAGAATTTTTTTTAAAGATTTATTTATTTGAAACAGTTACAGAGAGAAATCTAGATGCTACACTATGCCCTCTGCAATCCCCCTAAAAGTTATAGGGAATTCACATCCACTTATTATTTGGTTCCTACAGGCAAAGGCACAGAGAAGCCCGCCAGGAACAAAGCAGAGGGTACGATTTTTCAGAAAGAAGTTTAGGAAGAAGCCAGGATTTGGCGGTCAGCTAGTAACGGAGATGTCGCTCAGAGATTTTGGTACAAGCAGGAAAAAGAGTACCTCCCAATTTTTGAGATTTTTTTCCATGGGGGAAGAGAGGGATGGGTGTAAACAAGGGCAAATGCCTTCTAGTTTCCACCTGCCTCTACCTGCTGGAGGCTTTGAAGCCCCTGGGGAGGGCCGGCCCCCCAGGTCTCTAGCAACCCTGAGTCTGGACTCCATTTCCCAGAGTTCCTAGGAGTCCCAGCGTATTCTGAACGCCGAGCGCCTCTGTGTTTGCGCGCGTGTGTGAATATGCGCATGCGTGTGCGCGGGGGCGGCTCCGAGTTCCGGGACAGCGGCGGCTCATTCACCCGATCGGAGCCGGCGCTGAGAGGCGGCGCTGCACCTTCTCCCGTGTCCTGGTCCCTGGCCAGCTCCCTGCAATCCCAGGCAGTTGCAAGCGCACAACCGGGCCAGCCCGTCCGTGGCTTCCGCTTCCGCTGCTGCCGCCTCTGCTGCCTCTGCCGCCTCTGCCAGTCCCACGCGCCTCGCAGTTTTCCTGCCGCGCACTCGCCGCCTTGAGCCCGGTGTCCGCAGCCTGCGGCGGAGCTCCCCGGGAACATCCACGGCAGGTTCGGAGCCCAGGAAGGGGCGAGGGGCGTGCGTATGGGAGAGGGCTGGGTGCGAGGGCGGCCGGCGGCCCGGGGACCTCGGCTCACTTTCTGGCTGCGCCTCCGCGATCCAGGCTGGGGCGGGGGCTGCAACGCGGGCTGTCGCCTCTCTGACAGCCACCTCCCAGGGCTCAGCGCACCGCTACCTCTCGCAAACTTTCCTTCATGCGGTTTATTTAGGGGGCGTAAGCGGGTGGGCCTCAACGCGGGGACGGGACAGGTAGGGCAGGCGGGAGCACCGCGAAGGAAGGCAGCGCGACTCCTATTCTCCACATTTTAACCAGCTGCGTTGCCATTTGGGTCGGTGGCGAGAGTGCCCTTGGGGCTGGTGGCCCTGAGCGGGGAGCCCGAGGCGGCTGGAGGGATGGGGAAGGAGCGTCAGCGGAGTGTGTGCCCCGCCGCGCCCACAATGCACGCCCCGCGGACACTGCGGGCATTAGGGCCTTGCCTGTTCGGCCTTTTCCCCAGTGCGAGCAGCGTGGAGGATGTGCTGTGGCTTTGTGGATTCATGCCGCCTCCGCGTCTAGTTCACAAAGACTTTGCAATCTCGAGTTTGAGGCTGTGGCAAAGTAGCTGATTTATTTGGCTGCTTTTCGGTTTCTGTTTTCAGCCCTTCTCCTTTTAACGGGCATGTCAACTGTTACTCTACCGACGCCTTTACAAAGTGAGAAGTGAACTGAAGTTACTGCAAGTCTCCTACTGTGGTTAACTGGAACTATTTCAGTCTGGATTTGCATGAAATGCTAAGCTATAAAAACATCCAGGCAAAAAAGTCACGCTTTTCTCTGTGCCTATTTCTTTATGGCTGGTTATCATACAATTCAGAATTTTTTTTCAAGACGGTCACTTTTTTTTTTTTTATTTTGGGTTTTGTGTTTAAGACCATGCCATTTTTGACATTGGGAGTGTATTAGCTATAGATTTTTATGACTATTGTTTGCTGAAGCCGCTGAACAAGTTGTTAGTGTGTGGGGGAGAATAAGAAAAATAAAAATAAAAAAGTGCTGCCCTCCCGGCAAAAGATAGTTCCACACAATAGAGTAAAAGAAATGTGGCCTTGAAAAATATTCCCTTCTTTTTTTCAGTGTGATGAAGTTTTCATGTGATTAACCAGGTTTGAGTAATTCACGTGTTCTGGTAGAGTGTTTCCTGCTGGTACTGGGTTAATAATTTATGAGACTCATTTAACCCGAGGCCATCTAGGAAGCAGTCACAGAAAGTGAATCATGGGTGGGCGGAATTTTAGGATGGCAGCATTCCTGCTTTCATCCCGAATGTGTTAGTTTTTCCTTTCCTCATATCATAGTGCTTGTTGATGGGAAAGCAGTTATGTATTTCTGATGTGAAGAGCTGCTTCAAACCCTCAATATAGTTGTATGCTGACTTTCTGAGCAGATGTATCGTGTGACCATTCATCTGACTTGGAAGCAGCCAAGAACAGGATTCCTAGACCTGTCAGACTGATTGACTGTGTTTGGCAGATCTTTCCCTATACTAGTAAAGTTGGCAGGCAAGTTACTTAACATTTGGAAGAGAAAATTTTTTTAATGTGAGATGCATAATGTGGTGTTGCAGGAATTTTGTGGATCAGATCCAGATGGGTGTCTGTGCAGCAGAGAAGATTAATGAGACCAGATGCAATGATGAAGAGGTGCGAAGCCTTTTGAAGCAGACAGTAGGAAAGTCTCCTGCAGTAGGAGGGCTGGTGGAGAGACCAGCTGAGGGGGACTTGCTCAAATGCGTTGTTTTCTACAGGCAGACAGTGCTGAAGCTGATTTGTTCCTGCCATGATGGCTGTTGTTGCTGGGCAGGGTAGCTAAGGTCAGGATTGCAAAGAAGGGACTTTTGGGCAGAATTTTTGTGGTTAGGCTAGTTGGAAATGAGCACATCTGGGCCCTCAGTGTTGAGTACCACATCCTATTTGAACAGTCTGAACTTGCAGACAAGCGGTGGTGAGATGGTGGGGCTCTGGACTGTCTTAAGATGGAGTCCGTCTGGCCTTTTACTCCTAAAAGTGTTGGGGTCTTTCTCATTGGTAATTTAGCAATGATGTCTTTAAGGAAGCAGTCTGATGGTGCTTGTTCATCTCCCATTAATAATTCATTGATATTTGCTACAGTACTGTTTGAACTGCATTAAGCCAGGAAGATTCTCTACAGTTTACCTGAGGTTTCTCAGTTTGGGGGAATAACGAAAATACTTCATTGCATAGGTGAGTTTTTTTTAAAAGGAGGGATAAATTTTTTTATATAACTCTCAAAGCTAAGATTATAGTTTGTGGTAGATGGTGATTTTTTTTTGTTACACTTTGAGTTTCTTTAAGTTGTTATTTACTGTTTATTTTTGAAGTTAATGAGTCCTAGTAGTCATCTTATGTTATCTTGCCTTTTGATAAATAATATTTATCCCATCTCACACTCAATATACTTCTTTTAAAGATTTTATTTATTTGACTTATACATATACATACCCCCACACATACAGAGAGAGAGAGAGAGAGAGAGAGAGAGAGAGAACAGTATCTTCCTCTGCTATTTCGAGAGAGAGAGAGAGAGAGAACAATATCTTCCTCTGCTATTTCATTCCGCAAATGAACATAAAAGCCAGTGCTGGGGCCAGACCAAACCCAGGAGCCTGGTACTCCATGTGCGTTTCTGACATGGGTGGCATGGACCCAAGTACTTATTCCTCCTTTACTTTCTCAGGTGCAGTGGTAGGGAGCTGAATTGGAAATGGAGCAGCTGGGACTGAAACTGGCACTCATGAGATGCTTTCATTGCAGATGGTGGCTTAACCCACTACCCCACAATGCCAACCCCTCAATATACATTTCAAAATGGAAACATTGGCTATGAAAGTATTCAATCTAAGTATGCAAAGAAAATGGAAAGAAGTCTTTTCTAACTGCAGTTGGCCCCAGGGGCTTTTATTAGACATCAGCTCTAACTTTGCCAATTAGCAGAGCAAAAGAAGCCAGACATTTTGTTAAGATTTTGCTCTAAATCAGGGGTGAGGAACATCCAGCTTGTGGACCATATAAGGACCATGAAATCATTTGGTCTGACCTTGTCAAGGCAACCACAGGTGGGGTTTGGTATTCAAAATATCTATAGCTACTTATAAATATCCAAGTGCCCCTTGTCTGAAGAAAGGTTTCCACCCCAGCAAAATGTTAATGGCAAGGGTGAGTGAATTAGTAACTACAATTATCAATCTTCTAGAAGACAGGCACAGAAGTAAAGAACACATGCCAAAAACATCCACTATGTTTTTAGAGATTGTCAGAGATGCCAGGTAGCTTGCTGAAAGGGTTTTATTGCTTCTGATAAAAGAGAAATAGGAATCCTGTGTAAAATGTGAGAGCAGGTGCATCAAAATAATGTTGCTGCTGTTGTATCACATAGAACCTGTTTTGGAAAATAATTTTAGATGACAGAGAAAGATATGTTTATGTCTGTGCATATGTGTATATGAGGTATGTGTATGAGGTGTGTATGTATGAGTGTGTATGAGGTATCCACATGTACAGTTTGTAGCAACTCACATGTACAGATGTTCCTTGTCTAGATGAGTATGATGTGGGAATTTGTCAGTGTTGTGCCTTGTTAGGGGAGATGATGAAAGGAGGCATGTGTGGGGGAATTGCACAACTGCAAACTGGCCTCTGAATATCAGGTACACCATGGGTGGTGCTTCTTTAAAATGCAGATCCCCATCTATTCTGCTGGGTGGCATGGCCTTGCAAAGCTCATTTTCCCAGGGGATAGTGTATGTAAAGGTTTTATAAATTCTTTTCTTGGCCTGGGTGCATCTCACCTGGAATGTGTACAGAACCACATCAGCTCTGTGTAGGTCACAGCAAATCATTGATTTTCCTGAGTGAAAATACTCTGCTGCTCCCAAGGCCTGTGTTATCTCTTGCCTGAGCAACTGTAAGCCAGAAAGCTTGGGGTTTTCCTTTTTTCTCCCCCACTGTTTTCCTCCTTCTTTTTCCCTTTGCTTTTTCTGCTACTCTGCAAAGGGGATGACTCCCTAGGAATATTCACTGCCTTGATCCAAGGTGCTGCTTAGCCTCTCTCCCTGGGATGACTGTTTCTTATGTGACACTGGCCATTGAAAAAGACTGTGGTGGGCTTACACTGGGTATTTTCCAGATGGACAGCTTGTCCTATCTTCCCAACCCTTAGCATCCCCAGCCCTGATGGCTTTGGCACCCATGGCCAAGCTCAGCTCTGGTGCTTCCAGCCCTTGGCAGCAGCCATGAGCCTTTGGTGTCTCTATCTTGGTAGACAGGGTGTGTGTATTCCATTCACCAGTGGCTCCTACACCTTTCCCTCTGTATACCATTAGCAAGGTGGGGTGCCAGGCTCCTTTGTAAGTTGTGACTTCTGCTGTCCTTTCTACACCTTTGTCCTCAGTTACTCCCTCAAATCTAGATCGCACTGCAGTCAGTATGCTGCATCCTAGTGGTGGGGGCTTTCCACCTTTATCTTCCACTGAGGACCAGAAGAGCCTCACCACTTAAGAACAGTCATGACACAAAGCCGCTGACTTGTACTTATCGGTAGTGGATGGCGAGTGTAAGACTAGGCACCACAGGTATCTTCTAGCTTCCTCTGCTCACTTAATGGTGATGACGCTGAGAAGACTGTGGCTGTCCCTGGCCTCATTTCTGATGGGGAACCCTCATCTGGCTCAGAGGATTGGAATGACATGTGAGTAGTTTGGTTTGAGCCCTCCCTTTTCTCCAAGTAGGCTCTGCAGCACTCATGTTCAACATCTTGGTGGCTTTGTCCATGCTCCTGGTCACGGGTAGGGCCAACTCTTTCCCTCCCAACAACTGTGGAGGGCTGGCATTCACTTGCCTCTCATCAGAGAGCTTTGATAGGTCTTGTAGGAAGTGTTTTTCTGATAATGGCCAAAGGGAAGTTGGTCTCAGTGCTGTCTTTCAACCAAATACGTGGTTGGTTTATTCATTGAGGACTCTAAAGTGAAAAGAGCTGTAGCAATCACTGGAAGGAATGCCACTGCATTAGCAACTGTAGGTTCCTAGGGAATTTGGTGGGGGCGAAGGGATAGAGGAACTCATCCATCTCTCATTTATTTGTTCTCATTATGTTTCTATGATCTTAATATTATTTTCTAGCTTTTCTATTGAATCACACCCAGCATACTGCATATGATTCTATTTTTACAACTCTCAGCCCTTGTCCACATCAGACGTTTTTTCTGGGAAGAACAAAGGTTGTCATCGGTTACCATAAAGCATTTCAAGTAGCTGTGTTTGCCTTGTTACTGCAAGGCTGGAACGCAGACTTCTCCTGTGACCTAAGAGGTTTGCTGAGTGGTTATCCTGGGGTTCACTTGGAGGACTACACACTGTTGTCCTGTGGTCCATATTTCATGTCCACAACCATTATAAATTCCTGCTTTTGAAATAGCTTTTCTCATGTTCTCTAAGTGTCTGGTTGGGCTCTGGCTACAACCACCCATACTGGCAACTAAACATTTATTTGGCACTTGGAGACTAGGAGTGCTGGTCCAGGAAACTTGCTCTAATTTAGTTAGAAAATAATTGTGTTTTAAAACAACTGGGGTTGGGTAGACAGGGCAGTTTTCTTCAAGTCTGGTGAGAATTTTATGAACTGAGGGTGTTTTTCTCCCACATTTTGATTTAAGATTTGTTTCATTTTATTTTCTTAAGAAAACTACTTCTGAGATTTGCTTTCCCTTTTCTTAAATGTTTATGCTTACATCTTTATAACCACCAACATGAGTATGCTTTTTTTTCTCTTCTCTTTGTGATATTGAGAAGAGTTACTGAGACATTGGAACTCTCTGCCTTGTCATGGTTTCTTCAGGCTGTCATCTTGAGTTAGGCACTCAATAACTTTGCTATTAATAGGCATCTGCCCAAATTCAGTGAACCTTTTCAGTAAAACCCAGCATAGCTGTTCAATAAAAAAGTTATCATAAAATCATCTTGTAAATCTCTCATCTTTGATTTTGAAATACGTTGTGGGTATATCTTTTATATCAGCATCTGTAAGCTGGAGACTTCCCACTTAAAGCAAAAGGCTGCTGAGGGATGGCACAACCATAACCTTATCTTGTCACTTTGGCTATGTATCCTCTTTTACCCTTTCATTTTTTTTCAAATTTTTTTTTCTTCAAGATTTATTTATTTGAGAGGCAGAGTTACAGACAGGGAGAGGGAGAGAAAGAGAGGTCTTCCATCTGCAGGTTCACTTCCCAAATGGCTACAATAGCCAGAGCTGGGCCAACCCGAAGCCAAGAGCCAAGAGCTTCTTCTGGGTCTCCTATGTGAGTGCAGGGGTCCAGGCACTTGGGCCGTCTTCTAACAGAAAGCTGGATCAAAAGAGTAGCAGCTGAATCTTGAACCAGCATCCATATGGAATGCTGGTAGCAGGTCGAGGCTTAACCTGCTGTGCCACAGCCCTGGCCTCAATATTTCTTATTTTATTTGAGATGCAGAGTTAGAGGGAGACACAGAGAGATGGGGATCTTTCATTTACTGGGTCACTCCCCAAATTGCTATAATGAATGGGGCTGGGACAGGCCAAAGCCAGGAGCCTATAACTCCATCTGGGTCTCCCATGTGGGTTCAGGGGCCCAAGTACTTGGGCCATCTTCTGCTGCTTCCTCAGGTGTGTTAGCAGGAAGTTGGATAAGAAATGTAGTAGTTGTGATTCAAACTGGCACTCATATAGGATGCTGGCATCTTAGATGGTGGAAGCTTAACTCACTGTGCTACAATGCCAGCTCTTCCTCTTCCTGTATGTTGACTTGTGTGTGTTCTGTTCCTGCTTCTTGAAGATACCTGCTGATCAGATCTTGGCCTTGTGTTGGACTGCTCTATTTTGTTTTGATTGTCATTTGTTGAGTGATGTATAAGTATTCAAAGCTAGCTGTAATCTGACTGGTGGCTGAAGCTTCTCTGGGTTAGGGTGCAATTGATTCTGTCTTTTCCTGTCTCCAATATAGGTGGAAAATGAAATCTTCTTAAGCCTAATATGCTGCAAAGTAACAACTGGAGATTGAGATTCCTTTCTTGTCACCTAACAGATCCAGCTGGTCTCTGTTTATGTCTTTTTAGCCCACACATATAGCAGACTCCTAGAGTTGGACAAAGCTTGTTAGCCCAGTCGGAACTGACAGATGTGAATATCCATTCCCCTTGGAGTGTCAGAG